GATGACTCGTAGCACGTGCTTGGTGAACTTGCAAGGGTGGGAGAACCACTCCCTCCTTCCCTTCTCCTCGATGCTCACGGCAAAGTACTCGTCCGCGGAAGGAAGGGAGCTCCGGAGTTGCCGACGTTCGGCCTCGGAGAGCTAAAACGGGAGGGAAGACAGAAGAGAAAAGGGAAAGGGAGAGGAGGGAAAGCTCATAGGACGCGTGCTTGCTTTCCGCATGTAAGACAGGCTTCCTGATCGATCCAGAATTCGCCCACCTAGCTCTCTGCTTGTCCCCCCGCTCTCTCTGTAGCTCCCATTTCTCAGCCCCCCTTGTCCTCCCCGTCTTCCTCCTCCATTCCCCCCCTCCTTTCTCACCTCCTCTCCTTCCTCCGCCTCGCCCTCGAGCATCTCAGCGATGACTTCCTCGGCGTCTGACCGAAGGTGGCGGAAGCTGATGACTTCGTTCCTGGGCAGGAAGGGACGACGCAAGGGAATATGCGGGGGAAACAAAGTGGTAAGGTTACATGACCCTTTTAATATCTCTGACATGTGAGAGGCTTTCTTTATATGGAAGATTGAAATTGAGCCCTGGGGTGCTAAGAAGAGATACAGGCAATGATGGGAGAGGGGAGAAGAGGGCAATAGATACATGGAGGAAGGGCTGAAGAGAGGGAGGTAGGGAGTACCTGGAGAAGACCGCGATGAGGACAGCCAAAAGGCTTTCGGGGAAAGGGAGGAGCGTGGCCCGTGGTGCTGAATAAAACGGGATTTGCTCTGGTAGATGGCAAGGGAGGGAGGGAGGGAAGAGTAACAGAGCAGCATGGTGGGAGGGAGCGGGTGAGACGCAAGAATGCTAGCATCCCAGCAATAGCCACGAGAGAGGGAAATCAAGGATTGCGAAGGGAGAGGGAGCAAAGGAGGGAAAAATGTAGTCTCACCTCTTGAAAGGAACTTGGAAATTTGAGGGGTGACGGCGTAAAGGACTGAGGGGCCAGGCGCTGGTGAAGAGGAAGAGGGCAGCTTCGACAGGGCAGTGCACGAGACCGCTGCTGGACAGGTCGGTTTTATGTGGGTGTGAGCTCCTTGCATTTACACACACGCCTGTCCGTCCTACCTCCCCTTTCTTTCCTTCCGCTGGCACCCTCGTGCCTGCTTACCCGCGTTCCGCAGGATGGAGGCCTTGGGGAAGCCGACCCGAACGTCCATCTTCAGACACTTCCACTGCATCGCATACTTGCCTACAGGGGGGAAGGGGCGGACCGGGTTGGTCCAGAGAAGATGAGAGAGAGGGAGGGGTAGAAGAAGGACTTGAGGAAAGGAGGGGATGCGAAAGCTGCGCGAGAGAAAGACTTAGGTCATTGTCTAGTCAACAAGGCATTGCTACCATCAATCTTCACACATCTCTCCACCTCCTTCCCTCTCGTCATCGCCTGCTCCCTCCCTTCCTCCCTGCGTCTTTCCTTTTATTCCTTCCTCCCCCTTCCCTCCTCACCTATCACGTCCAATTCTAGGAGCCGCGCATTCCCTTTCTCTTTCGTCTGACTGCCAAGCGTGCCTCTTCGCTTCTTCTTTCCCCCCCTTGCGCCTTCCTCTTCTTCCTCCTCTTCTTCCTCGTCTCCATCCTCCTCTTCGTGTTTCGCTGCTCCTAGTGTAGGATTCTCTACCTTAAGGCTAAGTCCTGATGGGCCAAGAAGCGGAGAGTAGATGAGGGAGACGACAATAGGAGAAAGAGGGGAGGCGGCGAAAAGGTCATGCAAACGCGATATGAGAGTCACACAGACCAAAATTCAGCATCAATGTCTTCCTCCCTCCCTCCCTCCCTCCTTTCCCCGCTTCTTCCTT